TATCTATTTATTCTAATACGAATTTTACTTTTTTTTTTTGACAATATTTAATGGAGTTATATAATTTTTAATAATAATTTTGCAATGTTTATTAATAACGTCATTCTTTAGGCATGTTCATATGTTCAATCTTGCTCGGAATACCCATGACTAACTTCAGTCTGATAATCATGTTCGGAGGGGCTCTTGTATTGATTGAAACCCACGAGTTGATCAATCGCCTGCAGGGGATCGCATTTTCCAAACACCTTCAGACGGTCATCAATGGAGAAAAGGTTTTCACAGAAGCATTTGCAATGGTCATTTTTAATTTATGCATCAGCATTTACGGCAATCACATTGTAACGCCAGGAGAAATATCCTTGTATTTCTTTAAAAACCTCTTCGGTGGATTATCTATTGGCCTGGGATTCGGGATTCTAATCAGGATTATACTGAGGACGACACAGAGAAGTGTGTTCTTCACTATAACGCTCTTCAATACCACCTCTTTGGCGTCTTACTACTGCAGCACCAAACTGTCCATGAATGGAGCGCTAAGTATTATGACAGTCGGAATCTTCGCTAGCATCGAGAAACGAAGTATGAATAGTGAAGACGAACAGATGATGCACAACTTCTTTAGAGTTGTCCTTCAGTTCGTGAATACGTTGATGTACACTACCCAAGGAATACTGCTTTCTGAAAAGATGATAGTAGGAACAGTCTCCGGAAGAAACACGGCAACAATCTTCATTTCATTAGCAACTGTAAGTGGAAAATACAAACCTAAATCATGAAACATGTCATTTTTACGAGCCCTTGTTTCCTTGTAACACGGCCCAATTAAATACAACGACACGGTTTCTTCCTCACACGGTAAAATCTCCGAACTATATTCCTACAACACGGTTTGCTTACTAAACATTCTTCTTAACACGGTGCATTGCCAGCAGTAACACTGCTACAAATCAATATCCTGACAACATAATTTCATTGTTACACGATACACATCTACAACACCACAAACACGGCACTTTAATAACACGGTTTCGTCTTCACACGGTACAACCCCTAAATAACTCTATCGCAACCCTAGATTCTGACAACACGGTTTGTTACTAGACACTATACAAACTATAATAACATATATATAAAACATGGAATTTTAATAGCATGAGCTCGTCTTAACACGGCACAATAACTACAGTAGCACAGCTACATAACAGCATTCATTATTAGAAGGTATAAATCTGCAACAAACCTAAAACATGAGACTTCAAATAACGTTTCGCAAGGTACAATCTCTAAAATAACATACATACCTAAAACATAAAATTTTAATAACATTATCTCTTGTTAACACGGCGCAATACATACAATAGCTCTGCTACGTCACCGCATTTCGCAAGCACCGTTTCTTTAAAGTACGAAACAAAACCTACAGCAACATCTTTAACACACAACATTCTCATAACACGGTCTTCTCTTAACACGGTAGAAAAGCTTGTTTTGTGACGGTTATAGACCGTGTAGCTCGCCTTATGGAAATTCAGACAACTTTCCAACTAGACAAGAAAAAAGGCATTTTCTGAATCTATCTTTTTTTAATTAGATTTACACGTTTCGTCTGATAACGATATTCCTGATGGCTCCGCTTCTTAGTCGCATCGAATACGGTTTATCAATGCAAGAAGCAACCGTCATCAGTATTGGTGTAACCCGCGGTGGTATAGCCACGTTTTTGGGTTGGATATTGTTTACCCAAGATGACGAAATGGTTATGAAACTCGGTAAAGAATTATACTGTGTAACATGCTTCTTGCAAATAATAACCTGCATTCTGGACATTTGTGTGACACCATTAATGCTTAAATTTGTCGGACTCTCCACAATTTCCCTAGCCAGAAGGAACAACATGAACACCTGTATAAAGCACATCAACACTAAGACAGAGCAATTTATATCGGTGCTCAAAATGGACAAGTAAGTATAGTAACGACGTTAACAATCATCATCATCGTTAGGTCGTCAATCCTAAGACTGGTTGGACGCGCACCTCCACTCTTACCTATCCTGAGCCAATCTTCGCATCCCTAAACCTTGAACAGCCCACATTCTTAACTATTTGCGAACGGTAATCTAATCTAGGTCTACCTGTACCCCTCCTAACTTCCCTTTCTGCCTCTAATGGGTCTCTGACTAGACCTTCATGCCTGGGGAGGTATTTCACCAACCTATCTCGCCTGTTCCCTATTGACTTTCAAAAAGTCCTCTGTTCTCCTATTCTTTCTAATGCCTCTTCGTTTCTAAACTTCTCTATCCACCGCATCCTCATCATTAGCCGGTAACACCACATTTCGAACGCTTCTAAACTTTTCTTTTCCGCCGCGCCCACTGTTCATGTTTCGCACCCGTACAGCGTAGTGCTCCAAATATACACCATTAACAACCTTTTCCGAATTTCTACATTAATCGTTCGCGATCATAGAAGTGACTTCTTTCTAGTTAAGGATATTTGGGAGGTACAATCGGAGACAAGAGTACATTAAATTAGAAATTCGTGATTAATTAGGTTTTGCAGCATATCATGAGGTAAATACGAGGGTGGATTGATAAGTTTCCGGCCTGACCAAGAAAAACAAGGTTTTTAAAAATTTTTTTTTTTTATTTCTCAACATAATCTCCTCCAAGGCTGATACATTTCTCATAGCGGTGTTCCAGTCTATTAATGCCATCTCTATAGACTGATTCGTCAAGCTCCTCAAAATAACCATTTACAGCTTCGATTACTTCTTCATTGTATTCAATAACTTTTTAACGATTTAGTGAATCAATTTGTAATTTTTACAGGAGTTTTAGAATTGAATGGGGAACATTCTTCCAAATTTGTATTTGTCTCTCCTAACATTTTGACGTACCTCCCTAACATCCTTAAAGGCGACTCGATCCTGAAAAAAAAAAATCTTTTGGGTGTTTCATTCCCACCAGCCAGTATTGCTGGTGGGTGGGCAGTCCCTCCGGACTACGCCGGAAGGTTGGGTGGAAGGCCCTCTTCATCCTTCTTTCAGGAATCGTGGGAATGGGTGGGTGATAGTGCGGGTGAGAAAGATGAGACGGACGAAATGGACCCTGCGCTACCCTCTCCTCTATATCCCTACTACTCCTTCCGTCCTGACTTATCTGACTTCCTAGATACCTAAAATCAACCACTTCTTCTAATTTTCCGTTTCCTATAATTATATTTGCCCTTTCCCTACTTCTTCTCCCATTGCATACGAGTATTTTTATTTTACTTTCATTTATTTTCATGCAATACTGTTTTGTCAACACCGCTTCCATTTTATTTAAAGCTATCTCTAACTCCTCCTTGCTAGATGCTAATGCTGTCATATCATCTGCAAATCTAAGCATACTAATCTCTTGCCCCTGTATATCTATCCCTACAATTGTCCTGTCTTTAATGATATCGATCGCGCCTTCGATGTATCGATTAGAAAGCAGCAGTGACAGTGTGCATCCCTGTCTGACTCTCTTCCTAATATTCACTTGTCTACGTTGCAACCGCATCTCGATAACTGCCTGTTGCTCTTTATACAAAGTAAGTTAACAATAATTGTAAATTAATAAATTCTAATACTTGTTAGGTTTCTTGCCGACACAAAATGGCAAATAGTGGCTGACGTGACAAAACTACGTAATCCATACACGAAAACCATATTTGCAGATAAAGAACACGAAACCGAAATAAGAACGACTAAGTATATTGTATGCCCCGACTGTTTAAAGGAAGTGCCTCAAGAGCCTACATTCAAAGAGCTCGCAGATATGACAAGGTGTTTACGATTTCGTACTGTTAAAATTTTACAAAATATGGATGTTGAGATTTGTATTAATATTTGCATATCCTTTTGTCACTTAGAGAGGCGAGAATGAGAGTTCTCAAAGCGAAAAGGGTCTCCTACATAAGGCAACACGAACATGGTATGCTAACCAGCGATGCATTCCGTTGTCTGAACCATGCTGTTGATAGGGCAATGGATACGAAAGAGGCCATTATGAAACTTGACGAATTGTTCAAAATGTTCCGTTTCACTCAGGTATTTACAAGGTTTCCATATAACGTAGCACCTTAATGCATACTGTCAGATAACGCGGTACGCAGATTGTTTTAATTCTTCAGCAGCATAATCTCTAGAGTAACACGGTACACAGACTGTCACAACCCATCGATAACACGGGCTTACTTCAACATCCTTCAATCTACAGGAACAACGTTCAACAACACGGTGTACAATGTCGATTAATTGGTAGAATAACACGGTACGCCATTTGCTACATGACTTCAATAACACGGTCACCATTCAACGTACCCAAAACTATTTGGCGACACTTCAGAAACACAGTGTATAAACTGAGTTAACTTTTAATTTTCCAGTTATGTAGTTTCCATATAACACATCCCAAACATACGTGAATAACACGGTACGCAGATGGTGGCATCACTTCAACAACAAGATATAAAAACTTGAACAAATCTTCAATAACACATTTTCAATACTACGAACCCCAAGTCTACTAGAATAACACAGTAATCAGACTGTCAAAACCCATTGATAACACGGGCTTACTTCAACATCCTTCAATCTACAGGAACACCGTTCAACAACACGGTGTACAATGTCGATTAATTGGTAGAATAACACGGTACGCCATTTGATACATGACTTCAATAACACGGTCACCATTCAACGTACCCAAAACTATTTGGCGACACTTCAGAAACACAGTGTATAAACTGAGTTAACTTTTAATTTTCCAGTTATGTAGTTTCCATATAACACATCCCAAACATACGTGAATAACACGGTACGCAGATGGTGGCATCACTTCAATAGCAAGATATAAAAACTTGGTCAAATCTTCAATAACACATTTTCAATACTACCCACCCCAAGTCTACTAGAATAACACAGTAATGAGACTGTCACAACCCATCGATAACACGGACTTACTTCAACAACCTTTAATCTACAGGAACACCGTTCAACAACACGGAATACAATGTGGACCAATCGTTACAATTTCCATTAAACATAGCGCAAACTTGGTAGAATAACACCGAACGCCATTTGCTGCATGACTTCAATAACACGGTCTCCATTCAACGCACCCAAAATTATTTGGCGTCATTTCAGAAACACGGTGAATAAACTGTGTTAACTTTTAATTCCCCAGTTATGTAGTTTCCATATAACACATCCCAAACATACGTGAATAACACGTTACGCAGATGGTGGCATCACTTCAACAACAAGATATAAAAACTTGGTCAAATCTTCAATAACACATTTTCAATACTACGAACCCCAAGTCTACTAGAATAACACAGTAATCAGACTGTCAAAACCCATTGATAACACGGGCTTACTTCAACATCCTTCAATCTACAGGAACACCGTTCAACAACACGGTGTACAATGTCGATTAATTGGTAGAATAACACGGTACGCCATTTGATACATGACTTCAATAACACGGTCACCATTCAACGTACCCAAAACTATTTGGCGACACTTCAGAAACACAGTGTATAAACTGAGTTAACTTTTAATTTTCCAGTTATGTAGTTTCCATATAACACATCCCAAACATACGTGAATAACACGGTACGCAGATGGTGGCATCACTTCAACAACAAGATATAAAAACTTGAACAAATCTTCAATAACACATTTTCAATACTACGAACCCCAAGTCTACTAGAATAACACAGTAATCAGACTGTCAAAACCCATTGATAACACGGGCTTACTTCAACATCCTTCAATCTACAGGAACACCGTTCAACAACACGGAATACAATGTGGACCAATCGTTACAATTTCCATTAAACATAGCGCAAACTTGGTAGAATAACACTGAACGCCATTTGCTGCATGACTTCAATAACACGGTCTCCATTCAACGCACCTAAAATTATTTGGCGTCATTTCAGAAACACAGTGTATAAACTGTGTTAACTTTTAATTCCCCAGTTATGTAGTTTCCATATAACACATCCCAAACATACGTGAATAACACGTTACGCAGATGGTGGCATCACTTCAACAACAAGATATAAAAACTTGGTCAAATCTTCTATAACACATTTTCAATACTACGCACCCCAAGTCTACTAGAATAACACGGTACGCAGGCTTACTTCAACATCCTTCAATCTACAGGAACACCGTTTAACAACACGGTATTCAATGTCGATTAATTGTTACAATTTCCATTAAATATAGCGCAAAGTTGGTAAAATAACACGGTACGCCATTTGCTGTATAACTTCAATAACACAGTCTCTATTCAATGCACCCAAAGTTATTTGGCGACACTTCAGAAACACAGTGTACAAAGCAAAATTTAATATTTTTGTAGAGGAATGTGAGTAATGTAAAGAAGAAGAAGAGATTAGCATGGCTGGAAACTCACCACAGAGAAGCAAGGGTTCCAAAAGACAAATGGAGACGTAGAATATATAATATAGTGTTGCATCCTTATTTCGCATTTGCCGTTTACGTATTTGTTCTTTTAACTTGTGGATTAATAATATATGAAACCATTAGCGACGTGGAGAATTTCACAACAATTTGGTTTGTGATTATGACATCGTACTTCATATTTTATGTTGTATACATATTTGAATATATCATCAAAAGGATTGCATATTCAACAGACTCAAACTTTCGTGAAGCACTGAAGGCCTATTTCACGTAATCATTAACAGTAACGCATCTGTAATAGAAGAAATTGTAATGTTTTGATTTATCCGTAGCTCATTTTGGAATGTGTTCGACCTTTTTGTGTTAATCCTTGTTATAATTAATCTTGGAATGGATATTTGTGAAGTAATTCGCCCCTGTCAAATGCAGAGCTCTCTACAAAACACCTTTAAAGTTCTCCGCCTGCTGTTGCTTATAAGAATTGTTATGATCTCCCACATCATCTACCAGAAACTTTCGGATTTCCGAGAATTCAGAAAAAATAAGAAAATCATGCTCGCCTATGAAATCGGAAAAGTATGAAAACTAGTTACTAAAATACAAAATAAACGCGTATTTTCTATAGTTATATTCGCTACCTCGACTTACTCTATCTCGACTTACCCCAAGTAATGTCTATGTATTTGTTGACTCAATTAAAAATTTCACAAAAAATGTAGTGGGTCCATATGAAAATAAGATTTACATTTTCAGGGTTACCTAATAGGTAACGACGGAATAGAGGAGATGATAATGAAAACCATCGATAATAAACACATTAGGGACGATTGTAAGCAAAGATTACAAGTCAATAATCAGATGGTCACAAGACAATTGGGATTGATAGAGAAAGAAAAGCCGTGGATTGCCAATATGGTCAAAACTAAGCATGCTTGTCTCATGGTCCTTAATGATGTCAGGAATACCGCCCTTGATTTAAAAATTTCAGGTGTTATTATCAACATTATCACTTCTGAGAAATTATTAATGAAAGAACACCTTGTTGGGCGGCTTCTTGTCCTTCAAAACAATCATTCAGCTTTTAAATATAATTATCTGCAAAAAAAATATCTAATGACCGCTTCTTTACAACAAAGATTGTCAACCATCGATCTGACCCTGCCTGCCGGCATAGCTCATGACTGTTGGGAATCGATGTATTAATTGTTACGTACACGTTTATAGGTACATACGTAGAAATTTGCAATTCCTCAGTCTTCGTTCTTCTTCAAAATTGTAGAAGTCCTATTGTAAAGCGGTAAATATGTGTTACCCAGGGTATGATTTATTACCCACCGCTTCTTCAGAACAAAGATTGTCAACCATCGATCGGACCCTGCCTTTGGGCATAGTCGATAGCCGTCGGGAATCAATGTATTGATTATACGCTCATAAGTAGCAATTTTCAATTCCTTAGTCTTCATTCTTTTTTAAAATTCTAGAATTCCTATTGTTAAGAGGCAAATATGTGTCACCCAGGGGATGATTTATTACCCACCGCGTTTTTAGTACAAAGATTGTCAACCTTTCGATAGTTCCCTGTCTCCGGACATAATCAAAAGCCGTCGGGAATCAATGTATTGATTATCGAGTACAGGCTTGTAGGTACATAAGCAGCAATTTGCAATTCCTCAGTCTTCATTCTTCTTTACAATTCTAGAACTCCTACTGTTAAGCGACAAATACGTGTCTCTCAAGCTATGATTTATTACCCTCCGAGCCTTTATTACAATGATTGGCGGTCATGAATCGTTCACAGTCGTTGAAAATCAATGTCTTGTTCATCACGTAGACGTTTGTACATAACAATTTGCACTTCTTCAATCACGCAACTTCTAGAAGTCCTATTGTTAAGCGATAAATATGTCACCCAGGGTATGATTTATTACCCACTGCATCTTTAGTATTACGATTATCAACCTTTCGATAGATCCCTGCCTCCGGGCATAATCAAGAGCCGTCGGGAATCAATGTATTGATTATCAAGTACAGGATTATAGGTACATAAGTAGCAATTTTCAATTCCTTAGTCTTCATTCTTCTTGAAAATTTTAGAACTCCTATTGTTAAGCGGCGAATATGTGTCACTCAAGCTATAATTTATTACCCTCCGAGCCTTTATTACAATGATTGCCGGTCAGGAATCGCTCACAGCCATTGGAAATCAATGTATTGATTATCACGTACACGTTTGTACAAAACAATTTGCACTTCTTCAATCACGCAACTTCTAGAAGTCCTATTGTTAAGCGGCAAATATGTGTCACCCGGAGTATGATTTATTACCCACCGCATCTTTAATATTATGATTGCCAACCATCCATCGATACATGCCTAAGAACATACTCAATAGTCATCTGAAATGAATGTATTGATTATCACTGACATGCTTATACGTAACAATTTGAAATTTCTCAGGCTGGATGGATGAAATTGAATATTCGTTAATGAAAGCGAAATTGGACCAGCAATTCCACATACTCACTAAGATGAAATGGATACCACCAAATACACCGAAAGATGTATTCAGAGAAACGCCGTGGATATCTGGCGATGAAGCACTAATAGAATATTTGTTCAGCAATATTATCACCAAAATATTTGACGCTGGAGAAGAAATTTGCACAGGTGGCTTACCATCTGACGGAGTATTCATTCTAATCTCAGGTAATACTCGAAAACCTAACCTAACCCATCGTAGATGAAAATCTAGATCCTATTGTCCACTTTCGACTCGAGCTGAATTTATTTTACTATTTGTTTAGGACTTTTGCGCCTAACCTACATTCCGAAGCCAAGTATCATTGATAAAATGAACAATTCGGGTGTTCTACCCGTTGTCGATTGGGTGAAAAACATAACGTACAAGGAAATATATGAAGAATACATTACACCCGGTAACAGCTTTGGAGAAATAAGTATGGTGACCGGCAACCCTTACGCATGTAGCATTGTGGCCGAAACGCCAGTACAAACTTATGTACTTAGCAGAGATAGCCTTAAATCCGCTTTTGATCAATTCTCAGACCCTATCAACGGGTAAATACTATCCATAGACTCATTTAATCAACTATTTTATCATCCCTGCTTCTTCTATTACGTTTATTTCGCCTTCTAAACGCTATTAGACGCACCTACCCCTTCAACCGTTACTACTTTATCAATAACGAAATACTTTTTAATAGTTTAGAAGCAAGAATGTGGAAAGCCATAGCATTTCGAATTGCTCCAATGGTCCTAATGAACGAATTCTTTTATCAGTCATATACACAACATCAAATTCAGTTTCTTCTTGTGGACGCGATTGTACCAAACATAAAAAACTACAGAATAATGAATGTGTCGCCAATGGTAGAAGACATTGTAGTAATACATGGAGTGGCACAAGACTATTATACGGGGGAACACTTCGTTGCACCCTGCTACGTACCCAGGTTTAAAAATTAATAAAAACTAGAGAATTACAGGCTTGTTCTCCCTACACGTCCAATAACTTATATAATCCACTATTAAGTAACCAACAATGTCATAGGATTTCATATATTTAATATATATATAATTAAGTTAATAAAAACCGACGGATCGTTAACCTTGTAGGTCGGTTGGTCGTGGTTGCTGTTGTCACCTCTCGTAGTTTAGTGGTAGAACATTGGTGAGTAAAGCCAAAGGTCCCGGGTTCGATTCCCGGCGGGGGTGTGACAACAGCAACAATTTTTCCCTCATTAATTTGAGGTAGCGTGTAGTGGGTAAAAAATTCAGAAATGAATTTTCAGAATAATATTTCATATTAAACTAACTCACTTCTAAAAGATATCTAAATTATATGTATGTTTAATCATAGTATATTCAGTATATAGTTACATTAGTTCGACGGATCGTTAACCTTGTAGGTCGGTTGGTCGTGGTTGTTGTTGTCACCTCTCGTAGTTTAGTGGTCAGAACATTGGTGCGTAAAGCCAAAGGTCCCGGGTTCGATTCCCGGCGGGGGTGTGACAACAGCAACAATTTTTCCCTCATTAATTTGAGGTAGCGTGTAGTGGGTAAAAAATTCAGAAATGAATTTTCAGAATAATATTTCATATTAAACTAACTCACTTCTAAAAGATATCTAAATTATATGTATGTTTAATCATAGTATATTCAGTATATAGTTACATTAGTTCGACGGATCGTTAACCTTGTAGGTCGGTTGGTCGTGGTTGTTGTTGTCACCTCTCGTAGTTTAGTGGTCAGAACATTGGTGCGTAAAGCCAAAGGTCCCGGGTTCGATTCCCGGCGGGGGTGTGACAACAGCAACAATTTTTCCCTCATTAATTTGAGGTAGCGTGTAGTGGGTAAAAAATTCAGAAATGAATTTTCAGAATAATATTTCATATTAAACTAACTCACTTCTAAAAGAT